TAATATTTATTTTAACTTATACTATCTATATTATAAATTTCATCATAATTTGATTTAACGTACTTAAAATTTTAGCAATTAAAGATCGCCGATCAGGTGTTGCGTTCTTTTTGGAAGACGGTGTAAAACTAAAATATATCGTTTAACGAACGAAATGAATATAAAACCAAAATATTAATGGTTAACGAACGAAATGAATATAAAACTAAAATATTATCGGTTAACGAACGAAATGAATATAAAACTAAAATATTAACGGTTAACGAACGGAATGGATATAAAACTAAAATATTAACGGTTAACAAAAAGCGAAATAAGTTGAACTATGAATAAAAAAAGGTTGGCGAAAAAGCGAAATAAATTGAATCACGAAATAAGATGCGGTTGACAAAAAATCGAAATAAGTTGAACTGCGAAATAAGAAACAGTTGACGAAATAAAAACGAAATATTTGACCACACGGAAACTAAAAGCGGCGACGCGTAGAAACTATAAAATAAGTAACTACGCGGATGAAAAAATATAGAATTATACAGTTCACTAAAATGTCTTTGTACGGATATTAATAAAGGAAAAAATTTTAATAGACATTTTTAGTGATCTGAGCGATGAAATAATCTTCTGGTGTAAGATTTTTGAAACTTTTTTTTCTGATTGTGCGATTTCGCCGTTTTATTTGCCTATACTCAGGAAAGTGCATTAGATAAAGCTTTTTCTTTTTTTCGGCCAGGTCCTTAAAGCTATTGCGACTCTCTTCGCCGATAGATTTCCACATATCAGCTGATCTCTGTAAAACGATCCGGCGATTAATCCTGGGTTCCTTTTCCCTCAGGATTGAGTCGTATGTTGAACAAAATTCGACAAATCCATTGTGAGGTTTCTCTAAATCTTGAACATCAACCATTTTTTCATGGTTTCATTGCGAATTCGAGACAGCATATTTATATTTTGGTCAAATGGCCCCCGGAACTAAGGTGACATTCTCTTCCGCGAAGTCTTCACATTAGCTGCACGAAACGCATACGCCAATGTCGCGAACAAAATTTGAAAGACAGAAATAATGATGTCTATAGGAATAATATCCAAAAAAAAATTAAAGGAACAGGACGGTACATGGATTTGTAAATTCCCGGAACGAATGACTGCGATAATATTTTTGTGATCACATTAAAAAAAAAAAATTTTATATTAACAACGGTCTTAAATTTCAAACCAAGGAATAATAATATGTTGAGTGCAGTATTTCCTATTCGGTAACATTAGCCAAAAATGTACTCGGATCATTATTCCTTAAAACACGATCGCCCATGAGATTAAAATTTGGATGATGCGCAGACAATTTTTCCTCTAAATCTATTTTCACAGATCAATTAAACATACAATGATTGCATGAAAACCTGTTTATTACAAATAATCAATAGTTATAGTTGATTGTTCTTCGGCTACTTTTAATGGTTCCTCTCTTGTAATAAAAGGGTTTTTTTTAATGCCAAGGTGAAAAGTGTGACATGCATAATTCGTTATACGTACCGACATAAACTGTATATTTTTTCCTTTAGAAAGAAACAAATCCTCATCGTCATTTTGCATAGCATATAATTTTTTCCCATAAACCTGATCAAAAAAAAAATTTTTTTCCTCTTTACTCCATATCCTTTTCTTTCTAAAAAGGAAATTTAAGTCGAAGGTTTATCATATATGGATAAAAGAAACTGTGCACAAATAGTCTATATTAGTTAATGATCAATGCGTCAATTGAAAATAGTTACGATCATCAAAAATTTTCCGGGTCTCGATAAAATACACGGGAAAAATCCGAAACTTTTTTTAAATATAAAAAGTTGTTACATAATAAACGTTTTATTCTATTAATTATATCGCCTTTTGCGTATTAATTAAAGTTATACTACACAATAAAATCTATATACTATGAAATTTTTATTACATTATGTTAGACTTTTATTATTAACGTTTAGGCTTTACATTTATACGATTTTTTTTTTAATTTTTGAGTTTAATTATAATATATAACATATTATCAAACTAATGTTTTGATAAGCTGGAGATGGAATTGATCAAGGGAAAACCATCTCACCTTTACTATGGAGAATTTATATGACCCCTTTTTATGTAAAATTCAAGATGATACACAAAGCGAATACAAAATGTCAGTTACATGGAACTCTGACCTTAAAAAACAAACTACAAGAAGGTTAGAATCAAGGAATGCAGCTATAGCCTTCATGGATGACACAACATGGATAACAAGATCTAAGGAGGACATGGAAAAGATTCTGAAAACTGCAAGAATCTTTTACACAGTCAACAATTCTCAAATAAATGGCAACAAATCAGTCTTAATCACTATTAACAATCCTAACTGCTATCCAGAAGAGGTGAAGGTAGGTACTGAAGAAGAAGTGATTAAAGAGTTTGAAAGAACAGAACAGGTTAGATTCTTAGGAATCTGGATGGGTAATCAAAAAACTACAATTGAGCTTAAAGAATGAGTGCTTAAAGAATGA